ACTCACCTGTACCCGCAAACTCTTGAGAGCAGGAAACTGTGCCAGTCGATCCACCTCGTCCCACGTCGCTAAGCCCGTATTGTTGAGGTTTAGGAAGCGGAGGTGTCTGGAATATCAATGACATCGCTAATGTGACGCCGCGCCGCAAAAATAAACACTATTTAAATTCTGAAGATCGACAGGTCAATGGCAATTGGCAACATATGTTGACTTAATGGGATCATATTGATAACATATTAGTTATTGTATAATGTAATAATAATCACTTACGGGAAGGCATCGTGGCTTTTCTTATTTCCGTTATCATCACTACATTTTTCACACGGGTCTGGCGCTAGTGTTGTTATTGGGCAGTCGTTGACCAGCAGGGTTTCCAAATTCGGGAAGGCGTAACCTAGTTTTGAGATCTCTCGCCAACTGCTGACATGGTTCCCGGAAAAGTGGAGTTTCTTTAGCTGCTCATGAACAGGCTCTGTGACATCAACGTTGAGTCGTGAACACGCCTCACATTGAGCTTCCTTATCAACCTCTTGTCCGGAGAAGTCCACATAGGAGTACTCGTTTAGGCTCAAATGCAACTCCTCCAGAGCTGGTAGAGCTTTGAGTAACGCGTGGACGCTCGGCCAACCGACGTATGTGGAGTTCAGAATGAGGTGGCTCAGACTGTCCCAACGTGGCTGTAACGTTTGTGCCGCCTGGATCTGAGCCGACAGACGGTTGAAGCTCAAGTTGAGAAACCTAACTCGTGGTGTCTGCTCCAGTATTGCAAAAACCTATAAGCAAAACTTTATGTCAGTGTACATTATTAAGGAGTGAACGTAACACTACGGAAATATCTGCTATTACAAATAATTGGTATAGATTGTCGTAACTGTGGGAAAGGTGTGTTTATTGCAAAGAGCTTGTTTGCTGTAATAGCTGACAAGGAGGTTATCCGTAAAAGAGACAGTGATGTGCTAAGAAATAATAATTTTCGCTTTTTAACTTACTTCATCCCACTCGGTGAGTTTGTTATTGGCTAGATCGAGCTCGACTACATCAGCACATTTATCTGCAAGAGCACGGGCGTCTCCGGCGCAGTCGATCTCGCAGTCGTTAAGCACCAGTAGCGTGGGTACACTCAACCGAGGGGAGCGTTTGGGCACGAATATTGCTACCGGCATGTCATCTATCGGAGCATTTACTTCGCCCTTCGCACCATATTTCCGCTCTAGTGCTTCTAGCAGCGACGGCATGTTGGCTTCCCTCTATGATTCGTGTTTATTTATACCTAAAAAGAAAGAAAATTTTATATTAACTTGCTATATATTCGTAAAACTAATCACAAATATATTGATTAGTACTTTATTCGCTGCGTCGTATAAATATCGTATCATTGAACAGCGCACGATAAGAGTTATTTCATTGCCAGTGGGTCAACCAATAATAAAGTGATATTGGAAAGGCAGCCCATAAGAACCAATTAAGTATGTGGCAATAGTCGATACAATATAGTGTTGTTGATTGACAATTAAGTTTATGAAGAAGTTGACGAATAATTGTAATCACATGGCGGTAATAAAAGCACAATAGATAATATCCAAGTTAAAATACATCAATTAATTTGTTAATATGAACGAGCGGCGTTTCCTTCTCGCTTGAACTCATGCGCAACTGGCTAAATAAATATACGCGCGTAAAGCAATAAACCAACAGACCGGAATATTTGCTCAAGGATCTGTATGAGTAGGTTCATAAATATTATTTCAGGAATCAAATTTGTTGGAAGTATCTGATGTATTATTGTACAATGAAACATACATAATATGTTTTAGCAACCCACATTTTTATGGTAGACATTACAAAAAGTGTTACATGTGGCGTTATCTTAATGGATGTTCATATTACATTACAAACGTTACACATCGTCCTAATGACCTATATTTAATTCTACATATTATTTGAACGAATGAGCGTTTCAATTAACAAGAGGTCTTCGGTCGATTGAGATTCGTGATACCGTACAATAAAAACTATATTTAGCTTGTATTTTTATGGGGCAATTCAGTAGTAATATTGTAGTTTTGTTTACGACTCGTTTTGGTACTTCTTACTTATTCATTCATGCGTAGTATCGAAGGTTTACTGGGACCGGTACTGCTATCAGTGATTGCGTTTTAGCTTTTCAGTAATCTCGGTAAAGCAGTGAAATAAAGCAAAATTACGATGATGAAATCTAGTAATTATTGCATTACGGTTCCGCTACCTTATTGTTCTTGCAAAATAATGAAAAGAAAATTCCAGCGTCAGTATTTTTAGGGTTCCGTACCTCAAAAGGAAAAAACGGAACCCTTATAGGATCAGTTTGTTGTCCGTCTGTCCGTCCGTCCGTCCGTCTGTCAAGACTCTTTTTCTCAGGAACGCGTGGAGGTATGAAGCTGAAATTTATATCAATTACTCAGGTCTACTGTCCCTTGAAGCTGTGAAAAAATCAAACTTCTCAGCCAACGCAATCAAAAGATACAGCCGTTTATGCCGCAAATTTTCGCCACTTGCAAGGGAATCAAAACCTACAGGGTGCTTCCCGTGAACTCAGAATCTTGAAATTTGGTACGAAGCAACGTCTTATAGCATAGATAAAGGAAAAACGAAAACCATAAATTTTTAGTTACATCACATAATATATATTTTTTTAATAATTTTAAACTTACTACCCATTTCCTCATAAACGCGTAGAGGTATTAAATTGAAATTCATACCAAATACTCAGGTCTATAATACCTTTAAGCTGTAACAAAATCAAACTTCTATGTCAACGCAATCAAAAGAAACAATTTAAGCTGCATATTTTGAAACTCGCAAGTACCTACTCGCAAGGGAATCAAAACCTAAAGGGTACTTCCAGTCGACCTAGAATCTTGAAATTTGGCATGAAGCAACGTTTTATAGCACACATAAAGGAAAAATACCGAAAACCTTAAATTTTTAGTTACATTACAAAATATATATTTTTTAATCAATATAAACTTATTACTTTTTCCTCATGAACGCGTAGAGCTATCAAGTTGAAATTCATATCAAATACTTAGACCTAATTGCCTTTAACCCGTGAAAAAATTCTAAGTCAACGCAAAAACGCAAAACGCAAAAGTACAAAACAATAACAAAATACAAAACGGTTTGTACGGAACCCTCGGTGCGCGAGTCCGACTCACACTTGGCCGGTTTTTTAGTTGTTCAACGCAATTAGATAATTCACTTTGAAATAAAATGTCATATACTCCGTATCAATCTAAATTTTATAGTATGTATACTGCATTTCATTGTCCCGATCAAGACTATCGATACAAGCATGATCTTGCTCAAGTCACTTTAGTTTTATTTTATATTCTTCACACCACTATTGCAAGAAAATGAAGCGCTTTAGACAATATTAGAAGGGATGTTGCTCAATATTAAGTAGTCGAGTCGAGCTGTTCCGAGACTTCGTGACTCGTGACTGCTGCAGCCAAGGTCGAGTTCAAATGTGCATTCAAACATAATTAGTGCCTTGTCTCACAATACAGCCGATGCTGATTGCAACGACAATCTGCATGGAAGTAAAACGGACCATTTCATTCGACGAAGAATCATTTGGAATTTCATGTCCAGCAATCAAACTTTTATAAGTATTGAGTTTGTGTTTGCGTGCTGATGTCATCATCGTTTATGTACACGACACGGGTAAAGCCCCAAATGAGCTCCGAAAATTATAAGTTAATAAAAAGTGACCTTATGAAAATAAAGGGACATACGATTGAGTATTGTGTTGTAATGATTAGCATTGCATTCAAGTACAACTCGATTATCGTAAGTAATATTCTGTTGACTGTCCGCTACAAACGGAACGTAGTAAGATCATAAAGCCAAGGCTAATAGAATTTAGTCACCTTATGTGCCGGCAGTAGTATGTAGTACGAAACGTTTATACCACGTCCCAGCTATATTTTCCGCTGGGGATTTGCAGCAACACTCGGTATTGTTTGCAATTTCGGTTCATAAGAAAAATTTGGATTACGGAGGGCATTTTTCTCCGACTCTAATTATATCATTGACCAAATAATGAATTAATGCAATCAGGTAACATCGCTGCGTTTACTCGCGTGCATAAAATAGGAACCGTTGTTGAATATTAAAATAAAACATGACATCAGACAGCCGTAAATTGCTATAACCACGCATTACGTACGACATAAATCCCGTTCTACATTTCCAATGCGCGTATAATGCTGTTGCGAGCTGCTGTTGGCTAACTGACGTCCAATGATTGTGCAAATCATCATGAACATCGCGGACATGTAATGTGATAGTGTTCGGGGTTGGATCGAGATAAAGTTAAAGGAGATAAAAGATAGAGTCAGTTTAGGATAAATTCACTGTATTGTCTGTTTCCACAAATATAAGATTAAGATTTATTTAACTAGGATGAAAAGTGAACGATATAGGATTATGAGTCACGCGCACGGTATGTCACCAAATTACGTACTGGCTTATTGCGGTGTAAGTGCAATAATATAAATGATGGAGACATATAGAGCGAGTGGCGCAATAATGCTGACCCAGGTAAACTTACTGTACGGTGGTTGACTCGTACATGCTCCCGGGGCAAAGATGGGGGTTAGTAGGGTAGAAATGGAGATGAGATTGACAAGATGATGAACAATATTCAACTTAACAACTATATGATAGGGTTGATGATTAGTAGCGAGAGATTAAACATATTTTGAACAATTAGAAGTCATTGCTAGAGCTTAGATCGGGGAGGGAAAATACGCGGAAAATAGGAGACGAAGCCTTATCATTTGTTTGTAAGCACTCACTAGATTTAATACGATTTTTGCGGTCACTTTGCACAGGTTGACTAAATTGACTTTTTTCCCTACGATCACAACACTCACTCACTGCACTTTTCAATTTGACTGATTTTGATTGCCTTTGTTCCCTAACCTCACTACACTCACTTGTAACTTTAACACTTTCTCTCACATTTCTGGGATATGAGGGGATCGAAGTAGATGCCTCTCCAGCAGGCTCCGGAGACTCTCGACATGCTGACCTCCTGTGACGTCGCCAACAGTATACTGCCGCCATTATCAGGATTCCAACGATTAGAACATATAAGACACTATAATGATGTACGTCGTGATATGATATTTTATCCCTCAAAGGTTCAGTTTGCTTCATAATCTCAATTTGTTTCTGTATTTCTTCAAATTGTCGTATTATTTCAGAATTATTAGGATTAATTTCAGGGGATTCAGGGATAGATATGTTAAATATATGATTAATAGGTGAAATTTGTGGTGCAACAATTCTTGCACCAATACTCATTTTGCTAGACAACCTTTTAGTAGACTGGACAACGAACTGGTTCGTCTTTATCATACAGCCTTCTTCCACATTCAACAGACCTGCATTTGTCAATTTAACGGCGGTAGTTTCGCCGTCACAGAGAAGTTTAAAGTTGCATTCATTGCAACAAAAATAGTAATATTTATGGTCCGCTGTCAATTCCTTCCAAATGTTTTTACATGGGTTTCCAGTAATTTCACAGGTTCTTGTGTGTGGGATCGTTTCACACAAACTGTGATCATCCTTTAAAATATTTATAGGGTTTTTAGTATGACATAAGACCATGCCAGGTCTTTGTTTTATACAAGACTGGAGCTCAGCCTCAGCAAAGGTTACGTATGAATCCTTTCTGAGGTTAATGGCAACAAAACTTGAGATAACCTTCACGTGTATCATATCGTGATTCAAAATTCGTGGAACTGGAATCAGATTAAAGATTTCATAAAGGTCTCTTTCGATAAGCGGTATTCTTATTTCAATGATTAAGTACTTACTATAGTATTTAGTCCGCACTTTTATTAAGTTGTAGAGATCTTTGAGATTCAAATGGTTGACAGGAAGTGCCATGTCTTTAGGGATATGTGCTGCTATAGAACTTAATTCCGTCTTCAGCTGTTTAGGAGATATCAAATGGAAGTCCAATTTTCCATTATAAATATTAGTTACCGTATCAAGAATGGAGTCTTGTATTTTCCTAAGGCTATACAGTAAATTATTCGCCGTCATGGCGGATGCTAAGAAGTCGGTAACTAGAGTCATGTTTTGGACGTGGCGATGAAGATCTTGATAGGATTCTTTGAGATAAATAAACTTTTGATTTATTGATTTGTGATGTTTGCTCGCAGCTTTTTCCATTCTTTTCATCAGATTAAATTCAGCTTCTACGATTGAGGTTTGGTTTTTCCAGAGGTTGTACAAATGTTTATCATTTTCCTTCAGAAGGTCGATATCTTGTGCGTATTTCTCCGCAAAACGCTGATCTAGCACGCCAAACAAGCTATTAGCGACGTAGCCTACTCCGTCTATTAATCCGCGACGCCGGCGCCGCCGCTCGTCTCCAGTTACAAATGATTCATTCATTGTCAACATACTATCATAGTGTTTAATTTCATCGAACTCGTGCCTGAGTTGTAAGATGATACCGTCGCAAGGTGTGTGTTCTTTGATAGTGGAGCATAAGGTGTCAAGATAGGTAATATACTTCTCGAGTGCTGACGTGCCTTCTTTGTAGGGATATGTGTCATAATAAACAATTAAATGCCAATCGTCTCGTATTAGATGCATATTTGAGATTTTATCGAAATAAACGCTGTTGTTGCTCAAAGGGGTGAAACTATAAGTTGCTTGAGATACATTTATTAGTGCCAAGAAGAATAGCGTTAGTGATAGAGCTATAGTCGAGAATGAGATCCGTTTTGTACTTTTCTGCCTTGGTTCCTCATCCTTAATCTTCGTATCACTAATAGGATTACTGTCTCTGTCAGCTGGTAATATACATAGTTTAACAACAGGCCGCTTTATTAAACCATTTTTGGTTTTAAGGGTAACAACTCTGACGTGTCCGTCTGAACCAGGATGAAGTTCAACTACCCGCCCTAGAGCCCACTTCCCAGGCGGGAGGTTTTCATCTTTGATGATAACAATATCGTTGAGACTGAGATTTTTCTGAGATTGCCGCCATTTAGATCTAGTGGATAGCTGCGTGAGATATTCGTTCTTCCACTGGACCCAGATATCTTTATAGATTTTTTGTACCATGTGCCACCGAGTTCTAAGATCATTTTCAGTTTCAAAGATTGTTAAGGTGGGCCCACTTGCGAGGAAGTGTGCCGGGGTTAAAAAGTCTATGTCTTCAGCATCCTCCCTCAAAGGACAAAGTGGTCGAGAGTTTAGGCAGCCCTCGAGTTGAGATAAGAGCGTACTATACTCTTCGAAGGTGAGTTTTTGCTCCCCAACAACACGCCTAAGATGATGTTTTAAACTTTTCACCGCGGCTTCCCAAAGCCCGCCAGCGGAAGGCCATGACGGAGCATTAAAATGCCACTCAATGTTCATTTCTGCAACGTTCGACAAAGTTTCTTGACTTGATAAAATTTCTGAGATTTCTGCGTATTCTTGTTTTAGGATTTTGTTGGCTCCAATGAAGTTAGTCCCTTGATCACTGTAGATGTGCCCGGGAACTCCTCTTCTGGCTGACATACGCCTGAGCGCTGCAATGAAAGCCGACGCTGTGAGATCAGATACAAGTTCTAAATGTATGGCCTTTGTAACCATACATATAAATACTGCCACGTATCCTTTATCAGTTTTGATGCCACGACCTTTGTTCACTTTTACTAGAACGTGCCCCGTATAGTCAATACCGGTATGATAAAAGGGTCGACTAGGATTCAACCTGGATGCAGGTAAGTCCCCCATGAGTTGATGTTTCAGAATGGGATCATGTCTCCTACACTTTACGCATGTTCTTAATCGCCTTTTTGTAGCACGATTCCCTCCAATTATCCAATATTTCTGTCTGATGAATCCGCTTGTCATTTTCAATCCACCATGAAATACTAACTTATGGGATTCGTCTATTATGAGATCAGCTAATTTAGTTTGACTTGGGATAATAATGGGATGTTTCATTTCGGGGTCTAAACTTGAATGTTTTATTCGTCCACCAACGCGAAGTACTCCGTGGCTGTCCAAGATAGGATTGAGATTCAATATCTGGCTTTTTTTGCTTAAAGGTTCACCTTTTTCAAGTTGAGATATTTCTTTGAAAAAGTGTTCTTGTTGCACATGTTTTATTATCATTTCAGTCGCTCGTTTGAGGTCATATAAGGTAAGGTAGTTTTCACGCTTCTTCTTGTAAATCAATATGTCATTGAATTTGTTTACATAAGCTAAAACTCGAATGATTTTCTTGTAACTACTGTACTTCTGCAATAATTGTTTTATAACTGAATTGTTAGAATCAGCAGTAATAGTGTTTACTAAATGTTTCTTTCTGAGATCTTCAGTCGTTTGATACGAGATAGGTTCAGGATTCTTTTCGGAATTGTATTGAGGTAACCAATCGGGTCCATGCCACCAAAGTGAATGATTTGCTAATTGGGATGCAGTCAGACTGCGGCTTGCGCAATCTGCGGGATTTTCTTGGGATTTCACATACCGCCATTTGTCTTTTGGGATAGTTTCGCAAATTATTTTCACTCGATTGGCAACAAAGGGTTTCCATTTTTCTGGTTCTCCATTTATCCATCCTAGTACTGCCATGGAATCTACCCAGCCGTAAACTTGGATTTTGAGATCAGATAAGGATGAGATTATTTTGGCCATAAGTTTTGATAGTAAAAGAGCTCCACTAAGCTCTAAGCGGGGTATAGATTGAGATTTTTTCAGAGGTACCACTTTAGATTTTCCAGCAATAAGGGTTACGTGTGTCTTGTGGTTTCGTGTAATTTTACAATAAACAACACAAGCGTATGCTTTTGTGCTGGCATCGCAAAATCCGTGAAGCTCAATTATATCATTTTCCGTGGTTTTTATCCATCGAGGTATTTTAAATTGAGATATATAAGGTAAGTCGGCCTTTAATTTATTCCATTCCAGGGCTGTTTCTTGTGGAATTGGTTGCTCCCAACTCAATTCCGTTTTCCATGTCTCTTGAAATAGGATTTTGAATTTTATCGTGACTGGTGACACCCAGCCTAAGGGGTCAAAAATTCTTGAGATTTCAGACAAGAATTGTCGTTTTGTTGGGATGTTATCAGATGAAATTTCTATGGGATGAAATGTAAAATAGTCTTCTTTTGGGTTCCAGCGGAGACCTAAAGCCTTTGTGGATTCTGGCTGTTTAAAATGAAATTCTTCGTCTTGAGGATTAATATGATCGTCTAAAAGTTCTGGCAGATTAGAGCGCCATTTTCTAAGATTGAATCTGCCTGACTTTAGAAGTTGAATCATCTCAGCTTTGAGATGTTTAGCAGCTGTCGCAGTATGTGCTCCATGCAGGAGATCGTCCATATACAGAGAGGTTTCTAAGATATCAGGAGCACAACTATTAGGATAGTTTGGCCTTTCATCGATGGCAAGTTGTTTAAGTGTCATCATGGCCAGGAAAGGTGCGGCCTTTGTACCGTAGGTGACAGTCGCTAGCTGATATTCTCGCAAAGGCTCGGATTGATGATTTCGCCAAATAATTTTCTGGTACTTTTGATAGTCAGGATGTATCCAAATATTACGAAACATTTTTTCAATATCGGCCGTAAATGCATATTTAAACTTTCTCCATTTCAGGATGAGATTTAAGAGATCTTGCTGCAGATTCGGCCCCCTGCACATAAGATCGTTGAGACTGTGACCTGTAGAGGTTTTCGCAGAGGCATTAAAAACAACTCGTAATTTTGTAGTTGATGACTCAGCTCGAAGTACACCATGATGCGAAAGGTAGCAATCTTTGTTTACGTTGACCTGTGTCGTAGCGGGGATCATATGACCGAGCTCTAAATACTCGGACATGAACAACTTGTAATCACGCGCCAATTCGGGTTGTTTAATTAGTTTTCTTTCTATTTGAAAGAATTGCGCAATGGATTTATTTTTAGATTCACCTAACTTCTCTTCAAAATTTTCTTTAAAGGGTATTTTCACGACGTAACTGCCGTCTTCGCGCCTTGAGGTGGAACATTGAAAGAAGTCGATGCAAGCCTGATCCTCTTGCGATATTGATGAGGTTTCGCGAATATCCTCCATTTCCCAGAACTGTTGGATATCGGTGAGATTGTTTAGGATCATATTGCACTGAAATGTTTTACAGTTGCCGCTTAGGATCCATCCCAGCTGTGTCTGTTGGGCAATGGGTAGCGTTCCCTCAGAACGGCAGACACCATCCAAAAGGATTTGGGAATAAACATCAGCGCCTAATAAGATGTCAACTGGCTTACTTTTGTAAAATTCTGGATCAGCTAGGGTTATTTGATTAAGTATTGGCCAGTTAGGTTTGGTGTAGGTATGACTAGGTAAATTCTTGACTAGTCTTTTCATTATAAATGCGTCACTTTCGAAAGTGAAGTCATTAATTAACGACATGCACTTAATAGTCATCATGCCCTTACAGCTATTTTCATTGTTTCCAATTCCAGAGATAAGTCCAGTACATTTTTGACGACGCAACTTCAAAAGCTGTGCGGCCCGTTCTGTGATGATTGAGACCTGAGATCCCTGATCTAGAAGAGCTCTCATTTTTTCGTAAGATCCGTCAGCTGCTTGCACCTTGATAATTGCTGTCGCGAGGAGTATTTCCGTAGGATCATTTTGCATAGATACTAAGGTGTTTATATCTTGTTGAGGTTGCAATTTCGTAATAGTGGCTGTGTTCGGCCCCAATCGCGACGCATCCGATGTAGCATTTCTTGACGTAAAACAGTCGTGTAGAATCGTATTGTGCTCTTTATTGCACTCCTTACACTTTAACTCCGAAAGGCATTTTCTACCTTCGTGATAGTGCAGACAGTTGATGCAAAGGTTTAAATTTGCAATTGCGTTTCTACGAGCCGTCGGATGCATTTTTGCCAACCTTTGGCAATTATAAATGCGGTGATCGCTTGCATTGCAAATAGCACATGGCTTACGTCTTTCGTAGTTTTTCCAATTGGACTTTGCCGATTGCGAAATGACCTGGTTTGTTGAATAGGTATGATTTGAGGTATTGTTATTATGTTTGGAACGAAAATTAACTCCTTTTGAATTAGATTGTTGGTAATTGAGATAGCCTTTGAATGACGATGAAGATGCGTGTTGGGGTTGATAAGACGCCTTTTGCATAAACGGTTCTTGTTTCTTCCGTGAAGTTTCCAGTGACGTAAACTTATTCTCCAAAAACAGGAGAAATTCTTCCAATACTGGCAATTCCTTTGGGGATTTCAATGAATCTATGTAGTCGTCATTGGTTTCAGGGTCTAATTTATCCGCTAGGATACATACAAGGAATGGATCCCACGTAGATACATCTATTCCGAGATTTCTTATAGCGTTCACGCTTTCGTATGTTGTTTCGTGGATCCGCTTCAGATAACTTACTGATTTTTGCTGAGATGTCGGAATATTTAGAAGGTTTTTGAGATGCGATATAAAAATACGACGCTTATTGTCGTAGCGATGTGTCAAAATATTCCAAGAGACGAGGTAGTTATCTGAACTTATTTGAAGATGTTGAATTAATTTCTCCGGCTCGCCTTTGATCTTACTTTTCAGAAACTGCATTTTTTGGGCGCTTGATAAGGAAGGATTATTATGTATAGTTTCCGTAAAAAGATCTTTAAAAGAGATCCAGGTGGTATAGTTCCCTTCAAAGGTAGTTATTTCCATTTTTGGAGTCGATTTCTCAATATGAGCTACCGACCACATCTTTCGGTTAATTTCCCTTTTCAGTGTTTTATAATATTTCTCGTAGTTAGAGAATTGCTCTTCGTACTGTGCGTTAGAGCCGTTGAGCTCGTTGTCCAGTTCCCAGTGTAGGGTGTCTATAGCTGTCCAACGAGTTTTTAAGGTTTTTAGGATATCTTCAAACTCCCACTTTTCAGAGATGAGGTTGAGATCTATGTCACCAGCTTCTCTTGAAAATGCCCTAAAGTTCGTTGCTTGTTTCTTTAACAAATCTTCTATATTTAAGTTATCTTTCGGAGGATTATTTTGAGTTAAGGGGTTCGGGGTTTGAGAGGTTGAAGATGGCTGAAAAGTAGGGGGTTTCAAAACAGGGGTTTGAGGTCTGTCTGCGGAAGGTTTATAATTCTGAAAGGCTGTTTTAATATTGTTATATTTCACTTTCATCTGTTCGTACTGATCGGTAGTGAAATACGCATGAGATCGATCACCAAACGACAACAAATTCATGTGGTTATTGTGAAACTCGGTAAAATATTGTTCTATGCTTTCTAATCGTCGACGTAGGTAGTCGGGGGTCTTCCTCTCTGCTCCATTTTTCTTGAAGTTGGTGTAAAGCCTATCTACGCCTTCAATGATTTGCTGCTGAGTAGCTAAAATGTCTTCCATTGTAGCCATTGCAAAGGGAAGAAAAAGGATACCTTACTTGTAGGGTTTTTTTGTGGTCGAACGGTCTGACAGGATGAGATGCGTGGCGACTTCCTGGACACCAGGAATGATCAGGATTACGAGATGAAGTGGCGTCCTCCTAGGCACCGAGATCACGAGATAATACCCACTGTATCTTCCAAGGGTTCTGATTGCATTCAACGAAACCGGTAAACGCGCACACCAGGAACAAAGTACGTTATTTTGAACACGCGTTTCGTTTCCGTTTAATGGCTCGAAGGACCAATGTTCGGGGTTGGATCGAGATAAAGTTAAAGGAGATAATAGATAGAGTCAGTTTAGGATAAATTCACTGTATTGTCTGTTTCCACAAATATAAGATTAAGATTTATTTAACTAGGATGAAAAGTGAACGATATAGTATTATGAGTCACGCGCACGGTGTGTCACCAAATTACGTACTGGCTTATTGCGGTGTAAGTGCAATAATATAAATGATGGAGACATATAGAGCGAGTGGCGCAATAATGCTGACCCAGGTAAACTTACTGTACGGTGGTTGACTCGTACAGATAGTAAATTAAAACGTGCATTACGTGGAGCCTAACCTTCTTCATTGACGGACAGTCGGTATAAAAAATACTGCGTGCTACGACGGAAACCTTGGGTCGAGGAAGATTTATAAAGTGAAACTAGTAATTAATCAAATTGTTATCGAATATTGCTTTATTACTCGTTTCTGGAGTACCGATGTGCGTGCGGCGTTACCTATCCTTATTACAATATGTAAAAAGTTTAGTTAATCGGTTAGTTACATATTTTTTCGTTATTTGAAAAGTATTCATCCACAAAATCGTTCAAGTATTTTAAGCTTCGGATAGATCAGATAGATGCAGTTTTCAAGATCTTCCTTTACCGGTTTTGAGCTTCCATTAGTGGTGACACAAATGACTGCTTGGGTTATTTTGTAAGAAAATGAGTATAGAAGCTTGAATTATGTCCAGTCAGCCACAAAATATCGTGAATGAATTCCGAAGAAGGCAATAAAAATGTTATCAACCTCGTTTATTAGCTACCTTAACTAGTTTCAAATTCAATATCCCTTTCGAATTCCGGAACTGACCGTGTCATGGCATACATTACTAACGCGTTTGGAGTCGTGTTCATAGAAATACATTTCCTTTAAGTTTGTGACTTTTTCTTCTATCTATACGTCTTTAATTATGGCTTTTGGACTTGTATCATTGCATTGTCCACCGTATTAAGGTTAAGCCATTCCGCTCTAGTTACTATTTACATAATGTGAAACAATTATTATCTTCGCACATTCGTCTGTACACATACATTTCGACGATTTAGTTCAAATTTTCAGAAAAAATCGAAGCGTGTCCAATGCCCATTTACATACTTACATACAAATAAATGATTTGATTTGATAGTTCTCGGAGAAGAACGATTTGTTATTATTTAATAGTTTAAACCTTTCGTGTAAGCCTCGTGTTATTCCACATAAACAGATGCTACGTATTAATATTGTATTTCTAGTTCATAATACTATTACGGTAAGGTTATTCAGAAAGCGAGAGTTAGGTACCAAGGCCGGAACACAAGTAATCGCGATTTTGCACAACGTATTAAACTCAATTGTGTTTAACAATAGATCAATCACACACAACTATTTTGTTGTAAATAAAATAGTTATTTAATGTATATTATTCATATTAAAACAGTCCTTAGTATCTATTAGTACGACAGGTTGTTGATGTCTATTGAGATAATAAGAGACAAAGCACCATACATCCTGCTGCAAACAATGAGGCTAATAAAATTAATGGTGTACATCCAACAGATATAGTTAATTGTTTATTCTCAAATAACATGTTATGGCATGATACGTTCCAATTGATATTTCATGTCTTCTACAAAACAAGCCACAGTTATTGATGCTTTCATTTTTTTAAAGCTTCGCGTGTCAGATCTATCTAGTCAATGTTATTTGCTATTCTTTAGGTAGATACCTAGGTAAATATCGATCGATTTAGCTATTACGATGAGTAACGTTTTAATTAAAAATGTTATAGATGGTTTTATATCTTTTTAGGGTGTAAAGCTAGTACCTAAACGTAGTGATGTAATTTATGTATTTACTAACTAGAAGTTGTAGGTTCAAATCTATACATTTAATTTGCTATGTTTATATTATAACTTTCGTGAGACATTACTAAATTAATTATTATGTTTTCAGTTTACTCACGTAACTGTTTGACGAGCTGATTCATGAGTAGCATTCCGGGACTGTAGCAGCACTACATTAATATGATCCTCTAGCATGGCTTGAAACTAGTCGAGTTCTTCGTCAAATAGTTATGTGAGTAAGCCGAAAACATAATAATTAATTTAATTTGCACTCAAAAGAACGATAGATTAATTTGGTTTAGTTTAATTTATTAACTGTCTTGGCCAGCGTCGTTTCAAGTTAGACAAACAGCCACCTCATGTTATGTGCATTTGTTGGCTGGAATTGCTCACAAACAAACAAAAGAAGCAAACGTTGAGGTTTCCTTTGTGGCATAAATGAGAATTCATCCGCAGGGTGGCCACCCCGGCGGGCACAGGCGTCGCGACGGTAAGGGCGGCGAACTTAACGTCTCGACTTTACCCAGTCTACCCATATATTGGCTAAACCACTTTGTTTAATATCCAACTGTTGCTTAAAATGTCTGGATTGGAAAAACCTTGTCTGATTACTTTAAAAGTGTGACCGACCATTAGGATATTGACTTTAACGTAGAAAATACTTTTACGGGTATTGTTATTGTTTTCTTCATGGGAGCTTAAAATTCTAAACTAAATCGATATGAACTATTGTGTGTGCTCTGTGCTATAAAATACTATTAATAGGAAGGTCACTGTCATACAATTCTTTTTATACATATTTGTGAATAAGTGCGAAATACAATGGATAAAATTAATCGCCGTATAAAAACTACAAAAATTGTTGGGGCGTAATTGTTTGATGCCCAAACGCGTTCACGTGTTCTTTGCGTGTGTTGACAAGGTTTAACAAAAAATAATTGTGAATCTCTTACAGAGCGACAAAAAACTGCGCAGTTCTTTTTGCGCAGTGATGTTCAACTTTAAATCATAGAAGTAATTTGTAAATATAGTTGACTGGAAAAGGAACACGTTTTTCCCTTAGTACGTACCTAGTTATGTTTTGTTTACTTTGTTCTACTCATCGAGTTATTGTTTGATTTGTCTCTATGTCGCTGTGGTTACTGCATCGATTATTAAATTTTATTACTACAAGGAAAATTTCAATAGGTTCTTTATTTACCTATCATAAGGAGGTAATAATCACAATATTATGCACGTGTGGTGTGTATTATCATAAGGACTTTCTAGATTTATCATTATGATTACTTACAGCAATATTTTTCTATACAAAAACTCCAAAAAATAAGAGAGAATCTGGGAGATTTGAACATCTTCAAGAGCCTGAGAGAGAGACTTCAAGATTATTTTAAGAGTCTCAAAGGTGCCAGCCTGTGAGCAAATTGGGCAATACAAAACCTTTTAAAATAAGACTGAATATACGAAAATGTTACTTAAAAAATACGTGGCCAGTAAACGTAAAGTTTGTAAACTTTATGCTTAGAATTCTTTGGTCGACGTTAATGTTGGTACGCGGATGTTTGAAGGTCACAAGTGTAGAGATAAACAGTAAAATACGTGGGCCGCATAACACGTGCGACGCTGAACACATTACTGATTAGAACCATCACATTCATACTCGTATTACCTTGTTTACAGTACTTAGGGTACCTAAGCACCAAGTTCTTTGATAAAGCTGCTCTTGAATTTGGTGTGACAAGTGGAATATCTTTTGAGACTGGCTCGAAACTGCGTAATATTTTGTTTATTCGTTGTTGTTTCTATTTGTACAAAGGTCACCTGTGTTTATTTATTATCAGTCCTTACTTTATCGTTTAATTTACCATGTAAAACTTTTCCTTGTTGATTATCCGGGTAGGTTATTGATTAGATTTCAAGTGGCGGATGGAAAAGGGTGTTACGAAGGGTAATAAATGATAGTTAAAGGATTGAAAAACAAAAAAATCAGTCACAGATTATCACTAATAAGTTTTGTGACCTTGTTGTGCGTAGCTAAATAGGCTAGGTGTAGAATTAGAAACCCTAGAATAACACTAGACAGTAACTAACTAACTGTATAGTAATTCTAATATAAAACATCTGTTAAATTAGTTTTATCTAATTCGCATGACGATCGCAAGGACGGCAGCTCACTATTTCTGAACGCGATGTTGCAATGCGCGGGAATTTTACGCCTTTGTCGTGCGATTATGGTGGAGTCAAGATTAAAAAAAATAAAGACAGAATTTGCTTTATTCACGGTATGTACATAGACTTGACAAATTATGTATACCTAAAGCAGGTTAAATTAAATTATTATATGGAAACTATTTTGGGCTTTGTTTCAGAGTCTAATAAATGACGACTAGTTACCAGCAGTACCATGATTTCAAATTTAAAGAAAAGCCATAATACGTAAGTATACGTATTTCTATGTAATTTTAGATTTAACTACAAACAACGATAACACGTCTTTCCAAATGGAGCAACAAAGAAATGCCTGAGCAATAGTAATGAAGACACTTGTTACGGAATCGTTTCCATTATCATAATGTGGATTACTCAATAACAAGGACTAAAATGTTCATTGAAAACAATTTGGACACGTTTCAGGAAGTAGATTGCACGCGTGTAGAATTAAATAGGTCACGGTCGAAATCGATAACACCAATGCTGGCTCTATGTAGCTCGGTGCACAGAAAAAAAATATTTTTAGCTAGTTTCATAAAAAGAACTTTGTGAAGGTGTGAATTTCTTTTTTTACATTAGGCCTTGTCCTACCCTTATTATAGGGGTAGTTTATAATATCGATATTTTTGCAATAATTGATTCAACTAAGAAATTGTTTTAGGATGTTATAAAAATTTTCTTATTTAGCCAATACCTAACTTCGATTGCGTATCTATATTTTATCACCTAGCCAAGTTACCTACCTAGAACAAGGAAGTTGTTTGCACACAGCGTCATAGAGCTAACTCCGGTTTGTTGAATAAGTACTTATGGTACCTTACTTAAGTACATAAAAATTATAAAAATGCTATTGATGTTCATTGTTATAAAGAAAATAAAGACCAAAAGTGCTTTGGAATAGATACTCACCTAATTTTGAAGATAAGTAAGTAGGCTCGATTTCGAAACTCGTTTGGTTTTCACTACAATGCCACAACTTGCAGCGATTTTAACGCGGAAAAATACTTTCCATTAAGGTTTCAACTGGTTATTAATTTAAGAAAATACTTATTGAAAACTGACCTTTTTCCACTTCTATAAACAAAGACTTTTACTGCACTTTTCTTCACGATTAATTTTCAAAAAAAAATACTCAATAACCATAAACACATTGGAGATCACTATAATTTTTAAAAATGAATGAATCAGCTGTTCACATGTTTTTCAGGTGCGCCTTGAAGGGATTTCCATACGATCCTCCAAACGCACTGAAATAAAATGACAAGAGAATGTTTACATCAATACGTTGCACAGACGCAATGCCTGTTTCAACGCACACTACTATCAGTTTGTGTACATATACAACCGCGAAATATCGACTGACAGAATAAGAGTGGGGATGAAAGAGGTCAATGACGTTCAGAGTTGCGGTGATGCAGGACAAGGATGGAGATGTTGTATTGAACGAAAGAGCGAGATGAAAATACAACAAATCTAAAACACTACACTAGTGCTCTATTCAATGTGAAAATTATTTGACTAGGACAGAAAATAATGTTTAACACAGTACAAAATAACTGTACGTTATAATAAAACAAATGTTTTAGAGCAATAAAGTGCTATACAAAATTATAGTACTTAAATATTTTAAATAACGCTTGATTAAAATACTAAGGATATGAATACAAATCAATTTCTCACCTTATATTTTTCTAAAACTAGCGTTTTATTACACACTAGTGTTCTATTCAATGTGAAAATTATTTGACTAGGACAGAAAATAATGTTTAACACAGTACAAAATAAGTGTACGTTATAATAAAACAAATGTTTTAGAGCAATAAAGTGCTATACAAAATTATAGTACTTAAATGTTTTAAATAACGCTTGATTAAAATACTAAGGATATGAATACAAATCAATTTCTCACCTTATATTTTTAAAATGTGTTATTAATTAAAAATATGAGTTACAAAATATTTGTGCGATGTTTATTTTTACATTTTACAATGTTTTCCATACAGCAGAAGGATTGAATGTCAAATAAATGCATTCAGAAAAAAATAAAAAACAATTTCAACCAGCCAGTATCACACAATAATCATTATATTGCCATTGCCACACCAAATAAGAATTAAATGGGGAGGCACATTACCTTTTTATCCCGGCAGGTGGCATATCGTCGCTTGTGCCGATTGACCTGTCAATTCCATACTGTTTTACCAAAACAAACAAGATTATCATCTTAGTTTATTTTAATCATCATGACTCTATGTAGTGCTTTTCAATGCAAAAATATAGGAGTACACCGTTTTCCTGCCGAAGAGAAAAGAAGGAAACAATGGATCAACTTCGTCATCTAGGTTATGTAGTAAACATTTCAAGATGATCTTTATGGTGAAAGTAATTATACTGGTAAGATTAATGGTTTCAGTCTAATTTTAAATACCATATAAATAATCTGCAATACTTATAGGATTAAAACATGAACGCAATTTGAAAAAGGAGCAGTGCCAACATTATTTTCATTTTCAAAGCCAAAAGATGGCCAGACGCTTCAATGTCGAAGAGGCAGCTGAGATATGAAGCTAGAAGTGTTTCAATATGCGCAACTAATGATCAAACCTATTTTGTTTCTTCAAACAGAAACGAAGACATTGAACCAAGTTCTTTCCATGTTAGTGCTCCTGAAATAGGTTGTGAAACTGTGATACCAAAAGTAATCGAGAATGCAAATGTAAACTTGAATATGTCTGTCCTCAAATCAAATTCTGACAAACAAACATTCATACATTTATTCACACAATGATACCACAAGAAAAGTTCAGTCCAACAACGTAATCGTTCGTAATCAAAGTAAGCGTTCCATGATTACATACTAACCCAATACTCTTTATATTATTATAGTTTATAAATCGGTACATATTTTAGTATTATTTGTACATCTCTACTACTTGTGTTCCATCCTGTGCACAAATCATATCTTTGACATTATATGTCTTCAAAGAGATGCTCACGATGCTTAATATTTAGTTCCGTTTTTTATGGAACAGTCGTATCTTCATAACTGTCAACTGTTAGTGTTAACAGTTGACAGTTTCTGTCATTTGGTTTTGCGAACTGACATTTTATTTTGTTATCATTTTTTTTTCATACTATTGGTTAATTTCTCAAAACCGCTATATTTTTTCGTACCACACGAACTTTATTTTCTTATCATTTATTTTGAACGTGTACTGTGTGTGATAATGATAATTAAGTGTTGTCTATTTATAAGTTATTGACAAGGAAAACATTTGTTTAAGTTGACTTTAAAACCTGCAGTAGTCCATTCGATATCAAGTAAGTATTTAGATAATAATCATTTATTATTGATACAAATACCTGAACACATTAGTATTAGTAAGGAGAATTTTTCCTAGAAGTGTTCGTCCAAAGTTTGATTCTAACAGGACACTTAAGATTTTATAAAAAAAAAAACAATATTATTGGAAAAACTATCCTTTAAAGAGTAGAGTTCTTATCATCATAATTGATTAGGTAATGTAATGTACAATATCTTGTCAATTATCCAATAGACATTCCATTTTAAATTGATTATTATTACCTATAATGAATAATATGTTTGTAATATGGGACAACAAAAATTAGAGTATATGTTTTGTCATTGATTCATTACCAAATTGCATTAGTGCTAAAATTTTATTTATAGGCAACTCCTTTTTTTATTCACCTAACATTAAGTGGGATACTTAAACTGTCAAACACCAAGCGGTCACCGGTGACCGCAACCTATTGTTCTAAAATTGTGTCTACAAAACCGGTACTCGACGAGTTAACATAATCGGTGAAAAGTAGATGTTACACTGAGAATGTGCACCTCTACATATTTATTTTATCTAGTTCTATTTATGGGAATGAACCTGTCCTGATGCGCAACATTTAAATAAAATACAAAGTGTATTATCTTGGTTCTGTCTATAACAGGCCATAAAAATATGTTATTTATGTGGCAGTTACATAGTTGTGAGTAGTTCCATCAATATTTATTATCGTACTAACAGCTATATGTTGATATTTGTTTTAGAGACGGTTAGTGTGATCTGCAAATCATTGTAGTTATTTGTGTGTATGCAAGATTTGATTTTGTAAATGTGCCCCCCCCCCCCCACATTTACAAAATTACGGGTTAGCCACATTTAAGAAAAATAACTGTTAGAGTTACTGCGAGACAAACAATCCCACACAGTTATAAGTCTGTAAACTGATTTAAACACCGTTACATTATTTTAACAAAAAAATACCGACCGAATTGAGAACCTCCTCCTTTTTTGGAAGTCGGTTAATAAATATAAATGTTTGGAATTATGCAAGTGTGCACACAGCACACCTTACATTAATCAGTCTAGAAATGTCCCCAGCAATGACTTGATGGTGATAACACTTATGATTGATAAGATAAACAAATAGTTACTAACACCTGTGCAAAAAAGTACCTATTTAATGTATAAGTCATGTCAATGTCAATATTAATGTTGTATGATGTTTAAACTGTCAAACACCAAGCGGTCACCGGTGACCGCAACCTATTGTTCTATAATTGTGTCTACAAAACCGGTACTCGACGAGTTAATTGACACTTAATCGGGGATTGTACCTGTCATTGCCTGATTATACTTGGCTAAGCAAAAAGTAAATAAACCTAACCTTTTAATTTTTTAAATGACTTATTATACCTTGTGGAAAGTTAATACTTTCCATCTTCTTGCTTTCATGCAATTAGCAAGTAATTATAATAAAAATAAAATATTCTTTTAGCTAAAGTCTTGTCCATGTTAGCACCATCATAATACCAGGCATAAGGCAGTATCACCTTCCACTGATGTTGTATGAAAATATTATTGTATAAAACCAGGCGGGAGTAGGCGGTATATTGATATATTTTCTTCAATGAAGATAATAGAGGTATCACAATGCTTATCCTTTATTATTGCTGCCAGTAACTTGTTGATAAATACTTTAGTACCATTGTGTGAACACAGAAACGATAATTAATAATATCTACTAACCATAGTGTAGTATTATATGTACAGTAGACCGTGGTAGTGGCCAGTATTGGACATTATACAGTTCTTCTGAAGGTAATATATAATTTTTATATGGATTTTATTTAAATGATTAAAATATAACTACTGGATTGGAAGTGATTATCATGTTTTTAAAAGGCTGTTAATGTTTTAATTAAATATTGTAATATTGTATGTAACAATGAATAAAATTCTTCAGTTTTCTTAAATAATTTTCCTTGAATGATGTAGCTTCACTCTTCACATATAAATTACTAAGAATTATTCATAGACATTCACTGTGTCTTTTACCTCATCAGAATTGTGGTGTCTGTTTTGTTGTGTGTGGAAAGTTCTGTGCTTAAGGTAAATTGTCACTTTTATTAATAATTAATTGTTAATTTATTTGAAGCAAAAAATTTGTCAACTCATCCTACTGTTGCATATTGAGACTAATAACATAACCTGATGTTACCCTAAAAATGTGATCTCTAAAACTAACTTGAAACATTGATTATGTGCATAATTCTGTGTACTAATATTAAAAACTATTTTCGTGTAGGCTACTAACTACTTATATTGAGTCTTATAAAATAAATTAGCTGGAAGTGAGCACTACATAATCTATCTATATAAATAAACATGAATTTCCGTTCGTTAGTCTCGCTAAAAGTAGAGAACGGCTGAACCGATTAGGCTAATTTTTGTCTTGAAACATTTAATGAAGTTCAGGAAAGGTTTAAAAGGTGAGAAAAAAAGTTTGCCGAGTCAGCTAGTATTGTAATATTTTTGTGTACTAGCCTTTATTAATTCATTGATAAATAAAATACTCCATAAGTGTATGAATAATTGTTTATGTGACTTTATCTGTAGTTCAAGTATAATGACTGCATTGTTGACTTATCCTAATGTCGTTGATGTTCTTTTGTTTGCATTTATGTGTGGTTGATGTTATAGGAAAATAATATATAACACACCCAGTGCTTTGCCCGACCCGGGAAACGAACTCGAGATCCCTTGTCCAGCAGTCGCACTTGCGACCACTCGGCAAACGAGGCAGTTAAAAATCCAAAAATAATAATAATTGAAAAATTTAGAATTTCTCCTCAAGTTGCAATGTGCTTACTGCATGAATGATTACTTATTCTAGTTTTCCTATTTTGAACGTGTGCAATATATTTATTCATGACTCATTCATTACTATCAACGGAAACATTATAATATTTACCGAATAACTCCTTACAAACATAGCACACGGTATTTTACGGTAACTAACGACATCTATACGTGCAAGAACTAATTATAATTGTGTAATAATTTATGATCGTTCTCTCGTTTCATAGGATGCTGCAAAAGTTGTCATTTGGTAGCTGGCGGGTCGTCGGCGCGGCGTGCAGTCTACCCAAAACTAGTGCCACCATCAGAACGTTATCAGCAACCATGGAAAAAGGATCCAACTTCTTTTTTAGACAGGTATTTACCTATTTGAATAATTATTATATTATAATTGTATTTTTTTAATTTCATATATTATGTAAACAATTGTTTTTTTTAAACTTGAACCAGATGTGCCATATAAGACATTTATTTACTTTTAAAAAAATATGCTGATCATAGCGTTGTAATGTTTACCGGTAAAATACAAGTGACGGTTTTATTCATCGGATAATTTACTTCTATTCTAACGTAATATAATTTATGTTGTTGAAAAGGTTTAGGAGATTATGTATCCATTCCAATGTTATCTTTTACATTATTTATTTAACATGTAGAGCCGATTTTTCCAACCATAGATAAATTTTAACTGAGGAATAATATTTTTTTTTTTTTTTCTTCCTTTGGCAACTGAGTCTCCAACACGGTGTTGTCGACAGGAATAACTTTGAATATTTGACCATTCTCCTGACTGTCAAATGTCAAATTTATTCTACAGGTAAGAATTAACTGATTATTGAAAAATCGGCTCTTTATGTATTAACACCAAGTTAAATACATTGATTTCCCCATGGTACGAAGTTCACAAGGGCAAACTGGTTTTCAATGTTGAGATTTGAGAACCTTCCTACAAGTTGATTGGTTACAGTTACATGCTATCTATGTGTGTGAGTTTAAACCTGGAACCATTTAAATAAATTCTAACTCTGGAAATGTATATCTGAACCCTCCACAATCTCTGGATTGATGTTTTTGTTGACAGAAACTCCATGCCACAGAAAAGAGAAATACTATTCTGTCCTCCAAATGAATGGTACAAAACAATCTTAATCTAAAGATTTTGCATTGAGATTTTTATGGAATAATTGTATGGTAAACGAGCAGGCGGATCACCTGATGATAAGCAATCGGCGTCGCCCATAGACACCTGGAACACCAGAGACCTTACAAGTGCGTTACCGGCCTTTTGGGATTAGGATTTTGAGGATTGTTGGGGATTAAGGTATTGGGGAAAGGGGTGGAGGGGTGGAGGGGTACCTAATTGGGCCTCCGGTAACCTCACTCACACGAGGAAACACAACGCAAGCGTTGTTTCACGTCGGTCTTCTATGAGGCCGTGGTATTACTCCGGTCGAGCCGGCCCATTCGTGCCGAAGCATGGCTCTCCCACACTAATTGATGATCATTAATTTCGATACGTCAGTCGATAGAGGTCTTACTAATAACATAAGAGTCTATTTACATTCAATATTATGGTTAACTCACACTCCATAATGGACACATTCATGGTTTATATTTGATGACATTTATGTAAACATTTCCTTTTCATTAAATATTATACATCGAAAGTCCCACGATGTGTAGATTAATATTCGTGTGCAAAATATTCAAATTATGTGATTATCCGATTTCAACGTTTGAACCAATTGAATAGCTACTGTTTGCACAATTTTTTTTATAAGAAACTAGCTGACCCGGCAAACTTCGTACCGCCTAAAAGTTTTTTCTCAACTTTTAAACCTTCCCTAGACTTCCACGAATCTATCAAGACCAAAATTAGCCAAATCAGTTCAGCCATTCTCGAGTTTTAGCGAGACTAACGAACAGAAATTCATTTTTATTTATATAGATAGATTATAAATTGTATAGTAAAACTTTTTGAAATTAATATTAAGTATTTCAAATACATACTGCGAATCCTGTTTGTGAAATAATGTATTTTTTTGCCATCGACTTATTTCTACACGGTTCCCTTAGGAAATAAAATGGCATAATATGTATAATTATTCCTTTTTAAAAAAGGAAAAATTATTTTTTTTTAAAAAAGGCGGACACAGTCTCTTTAAACAACGACTATCTGGTAAACGCGGTGGTACCTGGCTACCATAGAATTACCCGCGGAACATATACACATGACATGTAGGACATCTGTTATTTTCTTAAGTCTAGTGACTGACATTTTGACGCTTCAATCGTTTCTAAGTAACATTTGCCTTTTTTTCAATGTCCTTGATTGGCAGATGCCATGCCGTGTAGAGTTGCACCGCGTACCGCTTTATTAGTTCATATAAATACTTATTGATAAAACCTCCTTTATTAGTTAATGTTATCGATGTCGTCGATGGAAATGGCATTGTTCTCGCAACAGTAGCAGGCTTCTATTATTACGATAACATAAACAATCTCTTATTTATTATTGTTATAAGTTTTATGAAACCTATTCAAGTGTATTTTATATAGGTACTCTATCACTTAACGTACTTATACGGTTTGATTACATAATCCATTCAACTATGAAATTGATTGATTCAATGTAAATAAGTGGTATTGTAGTACTTATATTAGTTAGACCCCTTAATGTTTTTTTGATAGTAGTAATTGAAGAATTTATTTGTTTTGAAATGAATTTAAACTGCTACAAATTCTGAAATTACGTTTTGGACTGGTAGCTTACGTTCTAAAGAACTATGAAAATAGCGGTCCCATAGCTGCTTTATAAGAAACAATTTCTAAGAAAAAGTTTCCATTAAAAACCCACGTCGCATTATAGAAACTAAGTAAAAACATCATCAGATTATCATGCAACATCTTGAAAAATTGTGCACATTAATAAGTTGGATATGAAACTGAAAATCAAACCGTAAATCCTGGGAATAAGGGCTATATTAATTTGTGGTAACACTCCTATTAATTAATAATTAATATTACGAGATTGATGACATAATAGAATCGCTTAAACAAGCCCCTATTTCTAGTAATGAGTGCAAAAGATTAGTGTTATAAACATTGATTGAGATTGATAGACTCATTGATTAACTTCCCAGGGAAATACATATGATGTAATCTTATATTTTATTACCTAATCTTGACTTAGCTACAGCCTAAGAAATTGCACCCCGCCCTAACGAAGTTGGCGTTAAGTATACAATGTATTTACCTTATCAAATACATTGATTACATATAAACTCTCACAGATATCGACTGTAATTGTCATGGTTGTTTTGAGGTAGATAAAGAGCTATCATATCAACATCATAGGCAATTTGATATCATATCACATAATACACCTTTTATATTTTGATGGCGGGGAGGGGGGGACCTTCAAAAGGCGTCTAGGTTTGTGGGGAGAAAGACTAGGGAGTGTGGGATTTGCACCTCACTAAAACCACCGCGGTGGCCACCCTCATAATATACCTATGAATAACATGGTTCCTCAATTTTGCATATGTGAGCAACATGTTAGACTTAAGGTTTTTATTTTTTTATTTTAGTAAGTTATTAGAGGTAGTATAATGCGTCAAGCGTGTCTTTGCATTGTTCTTACATATGCGTACAGTATTGAAATATGTATCAGAGACATTGTAGAACATACTTTTTTTAAAAAGAGTAACGAATG